CCTGGCAGTCTGAAGGAACGATTTCTGCTTTAGAAGTTGTATTAGTCTGTTCTCATGTTGCTAATACAGACATACCCAAAGCTGGGTAATTTATAAAGAAAAGAGGTTTTAATTGACTCTGTTCCACATGGCTGGGAAGGCCTCACAGTCATGGCAGAAGATGAAGGGGAAGCAAGACATGTCTTAGACGGCAGCAGGCAAGAGAGCATGTGTAGGGGAACTCTTCTTTATAAAATCATTAGATCTTGTGAGACGTATTCAAGATCATGAGAACAGTACAGGAAAGACCCATCCCATGATTCAGTTACCCCTCACTGGGTCCCTCCCAAGATTAGATTTGGGTGGAGACACAGCCAAGCCATATCATTCTGCCCCTGGCCCCTCCCAAATCTCATGTCCTCACATTTCAAAACCAATCATGCCTTCCCAACAGTTCCCCAAAGTCTTAACTGATTCCAGCATTAACTCTAAACTCCACAATCCAAAGTCTCATCTGAGACAAGGCAAATCCCTTCTGCTTATGAGCCTGTAAAATCAAAAGCAAGTTAGTTACTTCCCAGATACACTGGGGTACAGGTGTTGGGTAAATATACTCATCCCAAATGGGAGAAATTGGCCAAAACAAAGGGGCTACAGGCCCCATGAAATTCAGGGCAGTTGGCTGGACCTTAAAGCTCCCAAACAATTTCCTTTGATTCCATGTCTCACATCCAGGTCACACTGATGCAAGAAGTGGGTTCCCACAGTCTTGGGAACCTCTGCCCTTGTGTCTTTGCAGGGTACAACCCTGTCCCCTCCTGGCTGCTTTCATGGCCTGACATAGTGTCTGCAGCTTTTCCAAGTGCACTGTGCAAGCTGTTGGTGGATCTACCATTCTGGGGTCTGGAGGATGGTGGCCCTCTTATCACAGCTCCACTAAGCAGTGCTCCAGTGAAGAACTGGTGTGGGCATGCCAACCCCACATTTCCCTTATGCACTGCCCTAACAAGGTTCTACATGAGGGCTCTATGCCTGCAGCAAATTTATACCTGGACATCAGGTATTTCCATATATCTTCTGAAATCTAGGTGGAAGTTCCTAAACCTCAGTTCTTGACTTCTGTGTGCCCACAGTTTCAACACCACATGGAAGCCACCAAGGGCTGGGGCTTGCACCCTGTGAAGCAATGATCTGAGCTGTACATTGTGCTCTTTTAGCCATGGCTGGGACACAGGGTGCCCAGTCCCAAGACTGCACAAAGCAGCAAGGTTTCCCAGCCCATGAAACCATTTGTTCCTCCTAGGCCTTCAGGTCTGTGATGGGAGGGGCTGCTGTGAAGACCTCTGACATGTCTTGGAGACATTTTCCTCATTGTCTTAGTGATTAGCATTTGGCTTCTCATTATTTATGTAAATGTCTGCAGCCCGCTTGAATTTCACCTTAGAAAATGGGTTTTTCTTTTCTATCGTATTGTCAGGCTGCAAATTTTCTGAACTTTTATGGTCTGCTTCCTCTTGAACACTTTGCTGCTTAGAAATTTCCTACACCACATACCCTTAATTATCTCTCTCAAGTTAAAGTTCCGCAGACCTCTAGGGCAGGGGCAAAATGCTGCCAGTCATTTTGCATAACAAGAGTGAACTTTACTCAAGTTCCCAAGTTCCTTATCTCTATCTGAGACCACCTCAGCCTGAGATTTATTGTCCATATCACTATCAGCATTTTGGTCAAAGCCATTCAACAAGTCTCTAGGAAGTTCCAAACTTTCCCACATTTTCCTATCTTCTTCTGAGCCTTCCAAATTGTTCCAGCCCCTGCCTGTTACCCAATTCCAAAGTTGCTTCCACATTTTCAGGTATCTTTATAACAATGCCTCATTACTCACTACCAGTTTACTGTATTAGTCCATTTTCATACTGCTATAAAGAAATAGCCAAGTCTGGGTAATTTGCAAAGAAAAATAAGTTTAATGGACTCACAGTTTCACATGGCTGGGGAGGCCTCACAATCATGGCAGAAGATGAAGGAGGAGCAAAGGCACATCTTACATGGTGGTGGGCAAGAGAGCATGTGCAGGGGAACTGCCCTTTATAAAACCATCAGATCTCATAAGACTTATTCACTAAAATGAACAGCATGGGAAAACCCACCCAATGATTCAATTATCTCCCACTGGGTTCCTCCCATGACACATGGGAATTATGGGAGCTATTCAAGATGAGATTTGAGTGGGGACACAGCCAAACCATACCAGAAGTTCAAACTCTGCTAGCCCTATGAGACTACTATCATAAGTATTTTTATTATTTACCTGATTGCTGTTATGAATTCTCTACCTCTTACCTAGAATGCTAGACAGCTGAAGATGGTAGCTGAAATTATGAGAGACTTTTAAAGTCCATTCCCTCCCCCTCAAATACAATGACAAGTTGATGGGTGATATAGCAACTTCAAATAGTCAAGTGAAAACAGAATAGTAAAATTGCTTTGTTCAGATCTGCATAGGCAAGGTGACCTTTAGAGCTACATGTTTCCACTGTTATTGTAGAGGGTTCTATGAAACAAACCATCAAGATGACCTGACTTCAGTCACTGAGTTTAGACATTTAGATGACAAAGCTTATGCAAAGCAGTGTGCCCAAATGGTGATTGTGGCCAGAGAAAACACTCTTCATAAGGAACCATTGATCGTAAACTTTTGGGTCTCACGGAAGCCTTTACGACATCTTTTTGGACTGCCTTTATTGCAGAGATTATTTCCCTTTCGACATCTTGATAGGCTTAGAAACTGCCTCAGGGCCACCATTATTTCAAAGGAGCAATTTCTCTTCCATCTTGCTTGTGATTTCTCTTTGCTCTGGGCTCTAGATTTTGAAAACATGTGGTTGCAATGACTTTCGTCTGATACCCTATCAGGGGTATGTAATGTGTTTTCTGCTAATTCTCTCAGTTGCATCAGGATTATTTCTTTGCCAGAATTATTTGGCAAGAATCCACTGAAGAATGACTTTCAGCTTTGTTTGTGGTTACTAAATTAAATTGGAATTTCCTGCATCTCTCCATGATTCAGAGATTCTCACAGAGGCCCAGGCTGTACAGTGTGTTTATGCCAGTAAACACTAAGAAGTCCAGGCTGGGCATGGTGGCTTGCTCCTGTAATCCCAGCACTTTGGGAGGTTGGTGGATCACTTGAGGTCAGGAGTTCAAGACCAGCCTGACTAATAACATGGGGAAACCCCATCTCTACTAAATATAAAAATTAGCCACGTGCCATGGCAGGCACATGTAATACTAGCTGCTCAGGAGGCTGAGGCATGAGAATCACTTGAATCTGGGAGGCAGAGGTTACAGGGAGCCAAGATTGTGCCACTGCACTCCAGCCTAGATGACAGAGCAAGCCCCTATCTCAAAAAAAAAAAAAAAAAATTAAGACATCCTGGCAGGTGCAGTAATCCCAGCACTTTGGGAGACCAAGGTGAGAGGATTGCTTAAGGACAAGAGTTTGAGACCAGCCTGAACAAGATGGCAAGACCCCATCTCTACAAGTAATTTTAAAAATTAGCCATGCATGGTGGTGCATGCCTGTGATCTCAGCTACTTGGGAGGTTGAGGTGGGAGAATCACTTGAGTCCATGCCATTGAGGCTGCAGTGAGCTATGATCATACCACTGCACTCCAGCCTAGGCAACAGAACAAGACCATGACTCAAAATAAGTGAGTAAGAAGCCTGGATGCAGCACAGGGCCCAGTGCTTTAGTGCATCCTCCCAGTGTGTGATGGAAAATTGTGATCAAGCACTGACTTGGTGAAAAGAGCCGAGGCATGAACGTGTGTGCTGCCCTCTCAGGGCTCACACTTCGAGAAGCATCTCATAGGAGAGAGAGTAAAGCCAGTGTCAAAAGAGCAATACCAACCCAGTGCTTTGGGCATGTGGAGAGATTCGTTCTGGCTGAGGGATCTGGAAGGGAGTCACGGCGGGGACGGAATTGACTTGGGCATGCAAGGATGAGGAAGATTTAGGTGGGCACTAAGGGAAAGCTCAAGCCCAGGAGTCAGACAGGCTGACCAACTTGTCGCTGTTTGCTTGAGACTTTCCTGGTTTAGTAGTAAAAGCTCCTGTCCTAGTGATGTATGCACACCCCAAAACTGGGGCTCAGCCCAGGGGGGTTCTCAGTTTTATACAGGAAATAATTTGAGAGCAAGATAACAGAGTAAAAATGGCTGCTCCAGGGACAGAGCAGGGCTACCCATAGGCAGAGTGGCCCTTGTGGATTGCTGGCTAGCTACACTGACAGCTACTCCTTAATTATATGCTACAGGAGGGGCGTGATATTCATGAATTTTCCAAAAAAGGGGTGTGGAGTTCCTGGAACCAAGGGTTCTTCCAACCATATAAGGTGAATTCTGGGCATTTCCATGGCATTTCTAAACTGTCATGGCTCTGGTAGGTGTGTCTTTTAGCATGCTGATGAATTGCAATTGTGTACAATGAGCAGTGAGAGCAACTAGAGGTGCTTTTCTTTGCCATCTTGATTTTAGATGGTTTTGGCTGATTGCTACATCCTGTTTTGATCCATGGGAATCCTGACCGATGCACAGAAAACAAGTCCTACTTCTCTCCTGCCTCAGTAGAAACCTCCTCAGTCCCAGGCAAAGTAGGCTCCTAGGCAAATGAGTCAACCTAGGCAAAGAATACTGCACAACCCTGGTATCTAGAGCCTAGCTAGCAGCTCTCTCTACCTTTGGAAGGGATGGTAGGAAGACATTTTTGTGTGTGTGTGGCGATGGGGTCTTACTCTGTCACCCAGGCTGGACTGCAGTGGTTCTGTCATGGCCTACTGCAACCTCTGCCTCCTGGGCCCAAGTGATCCTCCCACCTCAGCCTCCCAAGTAGCTGGGGTTATAGGTGTGCACACTAGGCCCAGCTAATTTTTGTATTTTTAGTAGAGATGGGGTTTTGAGCTCAAGTGATCCACTTTCCTTGATCTTTCAAAGTGCTTGGATTACAGGTGTGAGCCACCATGCCTGGCCTGGAGACATTTTTTTTAATGTTCCAGAAGGCAGCTTTTAAACTAATTTTTGGAAAACTACAAATTCCAACTTAGCTGTATAACCTATGATGCCCTGAAATTTCCCAGCTACTGGGAATGAAGTGTGAATGACGGCTTAAGGCTCTAGAAGGTCTCCATATGTTTGGGTGAGATTTTGCTGTGAGTTTCCCTTAATGCACTGTCTTGTCTGAATGGCTTTAAAACTAACAAAAGTGACTACTCCCTAAGAGTCTGAGCTCCACAGGAAGGGTTTTTCTGTGATCGTGACCATCTTTTCTGTGCTTCCGTTTCTCTTTCTGCAGGGAGAAAACTTTTCCTATAGTGGATTTCTAACATATTTTTAATGAAGGTGGGCCTAGACCCTGTGGCTTTTGAAACTCAAGGTATAATTAAAGGTATGAAATGTAAGGAAATGCTCAAATCTTTACATAGCATTTACTCTAAGTTTTTATTTTGTTCAGCCTTTTAGTTGTTAAAAATATACATATCAAAATCTTATTTATTTATGTCTTGTTCCCAAAAAGACTATGGATGGAATGTCTCTGCTAGAGATTTCATGATCTAAATTGCTGCTACAAAACTTAACAATCAAGACCTATTAAGTATTCACTTGCAATAATAAAATTATCTCTCCTATAGGAAAGATTCACTGAGTAGGCCAGGCATGGTGGTTCAGGCCTGTAATTCCAGCAGTTTGGGAGGCCCAGGTGGGTGGATCACCTAAGGTCCGGAGCTCAAGACAAGTCTGGCCAACATGGTGAAACCCTGTTTCTACTAAAAAAACAAAAATTAGCCAGGTGTGGTGGCACATCTGTAATCCCAGCTACTAGGGAGGCTGAGGCAGGAGAATCACTTGAATCCAGAAGGCTGAGGTTGCAGTCAGCCGAGATTGTGCCACTGCACTGCAGCCTGGATGACAGAGTGAGACTCCATCTCAAAAAAATAAAAAAATAAAAAAAAAGCTTCCTTTCCAACGTAGACCTCGCAGAATGGCTCCCGCAAATAAGGGCGGTGAGAAGAAAAAGGGCCATTCTGCCACCAATGAGGTGGTGACCTGAGAATACACCATCAGCCTTCACGAGCACATTCACGGAGTGGGCTTCGAGAAGCGTGCCCCTTGGGCACTCAAAGAGATTCGAAAATCTGCCAAAAAAGAAATGGAAACTCCGGATGCGCACATTGATTCCAGGCTCAACAAAGCTGTCTGGGCCAGAGGAATAAGGAATGTCCCACACCGAATCCGTGTGCGGTTATCCAGAAAACATAATGAGAATGAAGATTCACCAAAGAAGCTCTATACTTTGGCTACCTATGTACGTGTTACCATTTGCAAAAATCTACAGACAGTCAATGTGGATGAGAACTAATTGCTAATCACCAAATACATCAAATAAAGTTATCAAATTGCAACAAAGAGAAAGATTCGCTGAGTAGTGGGCATTAGCAATTATTGATATGTTTACATCTTCGCCACGGTTAATGAGCACATTTTATGTTGAAACACAGCTTTTTATACATGTGTTTATGTCCCTCCTACTCCAAGCACCTCGGCAGATTTAATTTGGGCTGAGATTGAGCTCCCCTCAACTGGAATTTGTGGTTGGTGACAACAATCAAATTCCTGAAGAAATGGAGTTGCCCAGTGGAAGCACCTGTCTAAATTATTCTCTCCCCAGTGACTACTGTCGAGACTAGCTTTAGACAAACTAAACGTGGCTTCACATCAATTCCAACTCCAGATACAAGAAACATTGGATCTTTGACCAACATACCCAGGTATATCCTAGATAGGAATGCTGTCAACCTCATGCTTGTTTCATTATGGTGGCAAAACGGTCACCACAGCTCCAGATAGCACATCTAGATTAAAGTTTCCTACTTTATTTATTTATTTTCAAGACAGGGTCTCATTCTATCACCCAGGCTTGAGTGCACTGGTTGATCATGGCTCACCGTACCCTTGACCTCCCAGGCTCAAGTGATCCTCCTACCTCAGCCTCCTGAGTAGCTGGGACTACAGGCATGTACCACCACACCTGGCTAATTAAAAAAAATTTTTTTTTTTTTTAGAGACAGGATTCTGACACTTTTCCCAGGCCAACCTGAAACTCCTGGGCTCAAGCGATCCACCCTCCTTGGCCTCTCTAAGCGCTGGATTACAGCCTTGAGCCATGTAATCCCACCTGGCCATGCTCTACTTTATGTAGGAACTACTCTTCTTTCCTAAAATCCCTCTTGCAGACTTTTCTTCACATCTCATTGTCAGAAATGGGCCATGTGGGTCACTCCCAGCTACAAATATGGCTGAGAAAGTATCTGAATTTTTATTCTCTATTACAGGAGTCAACAATCTTTCTCTGTAACTACCAAGATAATAAACAGTTTTGGCACTGCAGGCCTTTTGGTCTCTGTTACAAAGACTAAACACTGCCATTATAGTGCAAAAGTAGCATCAATAATGTATAAATGAGCACATGTGGCTGTATTCCAATAAAATTCCATTTAGGAACACTGAATTTTGAATTTCATATGATTTTCATAAAATATTATTCTTCTTTTGATCTTTCTCCAACCATCTAAAAAGGTGAAAACCATTCTTAGGTCACAGCTGTACAAAAGTAAGCAGCCTACTGGATTTGGGCCACGGTGCGCCCACGTGTGAGAGGAGCGCAGGAAGGGCTTTGGGAGGTCCATCCACAGTACTGCCGCATTCAGGTTCTGTGCCTTGAATGTAGGATATTGGAAAGTGATGACAAGCTCAATCTATCAGATCCACTTTAATTTTCCTCAGAGCCACAAGAAAAGCCTGCTTCTAAATCATGTTGTTTATCATGAGCAAATTAAAGCTGACCAAATACCTTTAACACCAAAAATCTGTATTGCTGATCTCCTGGGACAGGAGGCCTAATGTATTTTACATCTTTGTTTTAAGTTGTCTTATAGTGCTTGCAAAACTAGATCAGATCTGACCTGAGAAAACGCTAGAATACAGTCTAGTACTGTAACCAGAAAATTGGCACTGTATCACAGACATTTGCATAATTCCTCAAAGTTCTGTTTGCACAAGCTTTTTGAAAATTCAGAGATGAAAATACCCTAGATATATTTATTCAGAGACAGGGTCTCACTGTGTTTCCCGGGCTAGAGTACAATGGCATGATCATAGCTCACTGAAACCTTGAACCCCTGGGCTTAAGCAATCCTCCTGCTTCAACCTCTGGAGTAGCTGAGACTACAAACACACACCACCACATCTGGCTAATTTAAAATTTTTTTGTAGCGATGGGGTCTGGCTATGTGGCTCAAGCTGGTCTCAAGCTGCTGGTGTCGAGCAATTCTCCCTTCTTGGCTTCCCAAAGGACTGGGATTACAGATGTGAACCACCAGATCTGGTCCTAAATACATTTAAAACAGAAGAGTAATATATTAGATATGTTGATCTATGATCATTCTTTTTGAAAATATCTTTAAAATATTACCTGTTCATTTACTTAGAAATTTGTTGTTTTGAACTTCACAGTTAATTTTATAATTACAATGTATGTATGTATAGGTGTATAAATTATATATTATATATAAGCTATATACATATATATATAATTATAATAAAATAATACAACATTATAAATAAACTACACATATATATACTTAATAGGCAGGACATTCTCCTTCTTAAGAAAATAAACTGATTGAGTTACATAGCTGAGAAGTCTAGGGGTTCAAGCATGGATCCAGATCCTCAAATGCTATCATCAGGGCTGAGTGTGATGGCTCACACCTGTAATCCCAGCACTTTGGAAAGCTAAGGCAAGTGATCATCTGAGGTCAGGATTTCGAGACCAGCCTGGCCAAAATGGTGAAACCCCATCTCTACTAAAAATACAAAAAAATTAGCCAGGTGTAGTGGCTCACACCTGTAATCCCAGCTACTTGGGAGCCTGAGGCAAAAGAATCGCTTGAACCTAGGAGGCAGAGGTTGCAGTGAGCGATATCATGCCATTGCACTCCAGGCTGGGTGATGAGCAAAACTCAGTCTCGATAAATAAATAAATAAATAAATAACAAATGACATCATCAGAATGCAATCTTGCACCGTATTTCTGGTGTAAGCAGCTGCTGCAAGCACACATCCCACGAGGGCAGCATTCCCTGGAGAAAAATAGCTTTCCTTTTCCCTAGTATTGGGTCTCATTAAACTGACTTACCCATCTATGAACCATCAGTAAGGTCAAGAGGTTGGAATATGTTGATTGCCCTGGCGTACGCTGTGTGGTTGAGTGTGCTCTCAAGAGCCGGGGGTATGATGAGGATGGCTGGTTTGTCTGAACTATGTAGACTGAGGATAGAAAATAAGTGGTTCCCCAAAGGAAAATTCAGGGTGAAATGATTCTGGAAAAACAAAAACAATTGTCTCCATTTGACTTTCAACAAAAGGTCGGGAAGAGAATATAGAACGGAGAGAAAATGAATGCAGAAGGAGAAAATTGTGGGAATGTAAAGAAAACGTCTTTTAGTAAGTTGGACAAGGTCAGTGCTTCGTAATCTTGGCAATGTATCAGAAAAATCTAGGTAGTTAAGAAAAGAAAAGATTCCTGCACCGTACCCCAGGCTGAGTGAATCAGAGTCTCTGAGAGTGGGATTTGGGATTCTGTAAATGTTTTAATCGCCCCAGGCAATCGAAATGCAGCTTAGCCATAGACTCACTTTGGGAACCATTGAACAGAGCTGCATGAAAGCACAGGCTCAGCTGCAAGAAAACCTCGAACTACAGAGGCCTGACCAAGAAGCTGATTTCTTTCTCACCTAACAGTCTGGAGGTGGATGGTCCAGGATGGTGGGTGGCTCTGCTTCATGTGTTCATTCAAAGATCCAAGTTCTTTCCATCCTGTTGTTCACCAGCCCCTAGAGTGTTGTCTTTGTCTGTAGAGCTGAAGCTGGCTGCTACCACATCCACCTTGCAGCTCATGGGGAAAACGGAAGGAGAGGACCAGAGAAGCACAGAGTTGTGTGTTAAGGCCGAGGCTCAGAAGTGGCACACACCACTTCCACGTTCATTATGTTAGCCTGAACTTAGCCACATGGCACAGCAAGCTGCAAGGAAGCTGGAAAGTGTAGTCTTTCTCTCACCTAAGACAAAAAATTTTGTCTTGTCTCTCAAAATGCAAGCACACACACAACACACACACACACACACACAGATAGGTAGGGGGGCATATGCTGAGCTAAAATCAGACACTTAAAAATTAAACATTCATTACTTTCAGTTAAACATCATAAATTGAATGGCTTATTTATTCCTTCCTGAAACTCCACTGAATAAAGGAATAAAAATGGTCAAAAGTAAGGAAGTCCCAAAGGAAACAGGAGAGGAGTAAGAGGAGAAAGTGATGTCAAC